AAGAAATTCCCCAAGTAAATACGAGTACAAGGCATTTAGCGGCAGAGGAAGTTCCGTTAATAGAGTATTAAAAGATCAGTTATTACAGATTACTATCCTAACAGGTGGACAGGTAGAGGAAATAATGCCCCTTTAAAATGGCCACCTCGATCACCAGACCTAATCCCATGTAATTATTTCCTTTGGGGAGCGTTGAGGACCACAGTTTATAACTATTTAGTAAATACGAATAATGGGAAAGAATACTACATGAAATTAATGTTATGAGAGGTAATGCACAATTATTGGGTAAAATTCATTTTAATTTTCGAAGAACTAATGATTGCGTTTAAGAACAAGGAAGTCACTTTGAGCATTTACTGTAATATTATTTTAATGTGATTACAAATATTAACTTAGGTATATTTAAAATGTTAATGTTGACTTTCTTACATTATTACTTGATATTGTCTATTTAAAAATTAGTGTTTATTTTTGTTTTATTGATTGATAATACTAAGACTAAAAATGTGTAGTTATTTTTAATGTGACGTTTTTTCATTATTAGTTCCTGCTTTGAGGCTGCAGTTATAAATTATTTTTTACAAATCGGAATTATTGCCTATATTTAATGTATAAAAAATACCAATTTCTAAAATAGTGCTTATTTTTAAAAATATAAATTCTGGCCTCACTGACACATAAAAAAATTACGAGATAGCCAGTGGCGCACAGGTACTAGAAAGAGAACATCCTGTATATGTATTATCACCAAATTCTATATTTACATTGCCCTTATATAAAAAATATGTATACCAAGTTTCTAAGAAAAACAGTTTTCAAATTATTTGAAGCAACTAGGTTATCTGTTCTATATTTAGAAGGCTGTATCTCAGTAGGCGTGCATTTTCGTATCTAGGTAAGTTAGGCTAAATAGTCTTATTTTCATCCAAGAAACCTGTGATCAAGTGTTGTTCAGCCTTTTCAGGGACACCCTGTGTGTATATAAACATATAGCACCAACAAATTTTAAAGGCAACTCATAGCAAATGATATGTAACGCAGAAGTTGTCGGTAATGATGGCAAATTTTATGTAATTTTAGGAAATTTTAGGTAATGCAGGGAAATTTTAGAAAAAATCAGGTAATGAATGGAAATACATAGCTACCTATTACCCAGGGAATGACAATTTATAGGAAATAGTGTACACCATTTTATTCAGTGATTTCTCTGTCTCTTATTAAGATATTATTTCTCTTAATTTAAAAATACATTAGGGGTATAAAAAATCTGCGAAAACCTAGTTAAAGATTAAATTTCCAATCTGTATAATTTCCTACCCTTTCATTTCTTCCAGTAAAATTTTCAGTGAGATTTATGCACGCATGACTGATGCCCGTATTGGACGAATCCAGTGAATATCACTCCTTTTTTATTCCTACGAGATGTGGCCATTCGTCACGCTCAGTTTGAGTGTAAACTGAATCGTTCATCGCCATCTGTACCTCCTACCGAGTTTGCCAAATTTACTTTGAATTCTTTCACTGGTTATCATTGAATTTTGTGACCACACATGCTTTTACTGTTCCAAATCGAATTTCATATTCATTTTATTCAGTTCGAACTGCATTACCTTGAAATGCAAAGTGCCAGTTCGGGATGTGCTTTTTGCAACGGTGCGCATATCTGTAAACGATATTCATCTCGCGAACGTGACGAGTTTTTAATAAAAATGATATTTTTATGGCCAGACGGTTCGAATTCCTCTTTTTTAGAAACTGAATATTACTTTTAATAAAATATGAGTTTTTATGTCCTCCAGTAAATAAAGAATAATTCAAAATATTGCTCTGCAAAAGGAAGTAGGTAACATTAATATCACATTATAAAATCTCTATTTTTTTCACTTTTCATTTCAAATGTTGAGAGCTTTTACTAAACTTTTGTTATTGAAAATAATGAAATATTACTAAAGGTTTTCAAAACAAAAAAATATAACGAATATGTCTTATTTCGAATGCCAAATTTTTAGTAGGTGTTCCTTGATCAAGATTGCACAAGAAATTTAAGTGAATCGATTTTTACCTGGATGATTATTGGTTGGGAAGGTTATTTTTAATACCTTTAAAACCAGCTGATGCATCAGTTCAAAGGTTGGCATCTGTTTTTAGCTACTGGAACAAAGAAAATTGTTCCTTAGAACATACCGTCTCATAACCACCCAGAAAAACACCGATTTTTTTCAGTTTTTGGAAAATGTAAATTTTGATCTCGTACCATGAAAGTGTGGCGGTAATTGCAGAATTTTTTGCTCTTCAAACTTTTTCATAAACTACTATCAAAGTTCCTATTACCTGTGTGACCCATTTTTTTATATAGTACTGTATAGTATACTACATACTAGTACTGGAAACATCAACTGGTTCTGAAGATTCTTCTAAAAAAACATTGTCAACAGATTGTTTTCTGGGATATCTTCATTTGGCTTTTTCGAGCTTTAGATTTATTATTCAGTTATTAAATGTTTGAAATTATTTGTTTTTGAGGAAAACACTATTTAAAGAATATGGCGCCCTTAAGAAATAAAACAATCAAGGTATGAATTATTAGCTATGTGTGTTTAAAAAAACAATTATGTTTACAGCTTTCACTTGTACCTTTTTATCTTTCTCAACGTCATTGTGAATAGCGTAACATAACGGATATTTCCGCAAATCGCTCTTCATGTGGGAAGTTGCCCTCGTCAGGGACTCATTCAATCAGCTTATTTCTTTTAGGAGATGAACATTTTTTTAAGGATTATTCTAAATTATGTTTTTCTTTTGGGTTGTGTTCTTTATAATATAACTCGAATAAAACTTCATGAAAACACCAATATTAAAATAGGATTCGATTTGTTTGTCAGGATATATATTTCTCGCTTAATACTCCTGGTAAAAAAAACTGCATGTGATTATAAACTTTTCAATTTTTTTATGTAATTAATTTTTATTATTCTACTAAAATATACTTTCAGTTATAATACCACTAGAGCTTCAATTATTACTGGAAATTTTTTCGAGCACACGAATTTTCTAAAAAATATTCGTGTGCAAGAAAAAATTTCCAGTTTTTAATTGAAGCTAGAGTGGTATTCGGTAAGAAAATTTCACAATAAAATCAAAGTAACTTACATACATATAACATTAGGTTAAATAAAATACAACTAACCGACTTTAGTTAAGCAAAATAATAAAAAATAAGTCGATAATAGATCAATCCCTCAGTTTTCCACATACTCATTTTACTAAAGTTGGTAGAAATATATTTTCTTACAAAGAACCTTAAGCACTATGTAATATCAATAAAATTCATATGTATATATTATTAAGAAGGCCATGGAATCCATGTCAAACAAGGTAATCGTGACTTTTGACGTTATTTGACCATTTTCTTTAAAATCGTTGTGTTGTACAATTGAAAAATGGAGCGGTTTGAGAAATACGTTTTATGCAAGTTTTGCAAAAAAGTTAGTGAAATTAAAATGTATCATCGGAACATAAAATTTTTTATGTATTTATTACAAGAATGCGGGCCAGAAATTTATTCGCCAAACTTGTTTGGGATTATTAAAAATCATTTGCTTCTTGTGTGTAAGAAATATGGGGCTCTTCGTGGATCACAGCAGAATAAGATTGTTTCAAAGTACTACATTTATTTTTTGAAACATAGACATTTTATAAATTTTAGTGAACGTGTGCTTGTTTATTCCCCATTAAGAAAAGAAGACGTGGCTGAGGAATTTCAGCAACATTTCGATGCTTTAATTAAAACTACTAAACGTACATACTTGGTAAATAATTATTTATAAATGATTTTTACTTATTAAATTATGATAGAATAAATTTGAAGTTAAATATAAATGTCATTTTATTTATAAATGTCAAAAAATTTCCAGTGTAATTTCATGCTCCTTACTCCAAGGAAGAGAAAAATTTCCGGAAATTTTCTTAGTTGCTATAGTAACGCTACAAAATACAGGCCTTTAATTGGCTGAAAAATACTATTGTGAAATTTTCAGTATAATTATTATATCATGGCCTTTACTTAATAGTTCAATTCAACACTTACTTTTTTATAACAATTTGTGTTTCCGGCGGAGACAGTACCTTGTTTTATACAGGGTGTATCACGAAAACCTTAGGTTGGAAATTATGTGGGAAAGAAACTGAAATGAATATGGTTGAATATGGAAGACTATTGTTTTTTTACAGTCAAATCAGAATCTTTATTTTAAATATATATAGCTAAACCCAACCGTTTCGGAAATATTTATCAATTTATTAAAAATTTAACTATTTTCATATCACATATATACATTTATCTTGTGACATGAACTGTGGTCATCAATGTAAATATTTTTTAATAATGTACCAAATATTAATTTTGTTAATTAGTTTTTAATACGTAACAACTTCCAGATATTTTAAAACTGGCAAATGTAACTTAAAAACTGTATTCATATTCTTAAAACAACTGTTTCATACACAACCGGAAGTATACCAAAATCAATTAACACTAACCATATAAAATCTATTCAGTGTCTCTAGAAAATAAGATTTACTGAATTTTTAATATGAGCAATACTATATTAATGTACAGGACGTCCTAAAAAAAGAAGGCCAATCCGGTAACCACAGACTCCTGAGGTATACAGGCACTTATCTATACAGAAAAATGCTTCATTCAGTAAGAGTGCACTTAGGAATACGATTCACTATAATGAGCGGCACACAACCTGTCACTATAATATCTTATGTTTAATTGATGAGCTTCGATCCCTATTTACGAAAGTACCCATCGACGAAGCCTTGGAGGAACTGCATCGAAGACTAATCGCAGAGGACAAGGATGAGAACCTAATAGGTTTGGCAAAAGTGTGCATAAAATCGACCTTCTTTGCATTCCGGGACCAATACGAACATATACATGGAAGCCTTTTTTTGAAGAAAGCCCTGGAACCCACAACGTTGAAGCCTAAATGTACCGATTTGTTGACGACACCTTCATCATCTGGCCCCACGGTCGCAACACCGTAGCGGATTTCCTGGATCACATCAATGGGATACATCCAGATATCCAGTTCACCATGGAAGTAGAGAAAAACGCCGTTCTTCCCTTCTTGGATGTTTTGGTTGAGAGGAAACCAGATGGCACTTTAAGACACCGAGTATATAGGAAGCCAACTCAAACAGACATATATCTGAATGCGGAGTCCCACCACCATCCAGCCCAGAAACAGGGGATCATAAATACCTTGATTCATCGAGCGCGGATCATCGGCGAGCCAGGACACTTAGCCGAGGAACTAGAACACCTTCGCACGGCCCTGAGAGGGAATGGCTACACGGCAAGAAATATAGAACGAGCTATTAGGAGGAGACATACGCCCATGGTGAAACAGGAGTAGTTAGCGTCTACGTATCTACCTTACGTGAAAGGTTGTACAGATAAAATCGGGAGTCTTTTGAAGAAAAGGAATATCAACACAGTACTCAGCACTGTAAAGAAGCGTTTCCAAAGACCTGCAACAATGACCAGCTCTAGGGCCCCGGTGTGTACAGTATTCCTTGCTCTTGCGGAAAGGTCTACATAGAACAAACAGCATCAACACGAGGTTAAAGGAACACAAAAGTCATCTCAAAAATAACAACTGGGTAAAATCGGTAGTAGCAGAGCATAGGGCGGACATGGGACACACAGTGGATCTGAGTGAATGATGGTGGTGAGAGAGAGAGAAGATTTTGGCCCCGACTATAGAGTGAAGCATTGGAAATTTACAGAAATCCGAACAGGGATGGTGGCGTGGATCTGCCAGGTATATGAAAAAGAGTCATCCGTGAAAGCAACCCATTGGAACGTCAACAACGCGTACGAGATCACCCACCGGAACATCATGGACCAGTGACCACATCAAATATAAATAGTGACAATATTAGTAGATCTCCAGCTTCAGAGTAACTTCTGAAGCAGAGAGCGATATGTCTCTCGAAACGTCAAGAGTTGCAAATCGACGATGTGGCAACCAGCCCGGAAATCATTCAGTCATTCAGCCTTAGACAACTAAAAACCTATCACTGGTATTTCAAGGTCGTCCTCGCCCCCACTCAACTCGAGGGAAGTAGCTCCCGATCGAGCCTAGAGTAGTTGCAATAAGATAAGCTGTAGAGACAAAACTTGACGTGATAGAAGAAAACTGACTGCAGTTTTAAAATCAGCATGTGCTTATTTACGACTAGAACAGTTGGAAAATCTAAGTCAATGCTGAAAATTATTGTCTAAAGTGTTAAATAATTTCAGTTTCATTAACTGAAACGATTTTTATGTCCGTATTTAATACAATAATAATACTATCTTAAATAAATGTCATTATTGTTGTAGATATCTGCATCTTTATGTTACAATATCACTATCACTTTATTAGTCATGAAAATGTTCTTGTAAATAAATGCATTAATAAGGTACTACATTCGTAGACTTACTTATGGCACTCTTTGTAGAATAGAGAATCATGGAAATATATATACATATTTAAGGTTGTACAATATCTATTTATTAAGTTGCTTTTATTGAGCTCTTTTATTGAAACACGAAAATAGGTACCTTCATTCCACAGAAATTTCCGTTTGCTTTTCTCTTTGATATTGGCATTATTAGTACATACCATCATGACTGCTTTAATGAAAATTCTGTACCTACCGGCAAGAGGAAATCAATCGTTTAAACTAAGGAAATTGCAAACAACCGGCAGGAATTAGTCTTTGTCTCGATAATTTATGTGCATTCTTTTCTATTCCCAATCTTATTAGATCAAATAGAACAGCAACAGAAACAATATCTAGAAATTATTTGATATTTTTATAGTGGAAATAAATAACAAAAATACTGAATTTTTGTATCTTTTGGAAAACGTAGGTTTTGCTCTTGTAGTATAAAAATTGTGATGATAATCGAAAAAAATTCAAGTGTCAAAATATATGATCATACACATCAATAAAGATTGTGATGTTCATATTCGCATATGTACATGCTATAATTATTTTAAGACGTACATCAATAGTATGTAATCTATAGAATAAATTTTTAAATATGTATTACATTATTAATATTTATTTTCTCTTACATGAGTACCTACAATGCGTTGCGTGATTATTGTCCTGTTGAACATCATAAGCACCTTTGCGTGTCATTCTTGGACATAAGTACAGTATAATTATAAGAATATTTAATATTTTCTTAAAAACCATACCTTTATAAAAAAAAATAGGAGCAAAAATTTTATTTTTACCTTTCTCTTATACTAAGTTTTCATTTATGAAGACGAATAGAAATAAAGCAATGATTTTATATCAAGGTAATTTTAGAAATAGGCTTCAGGCAATTACAATAAATAAATAAATTTTAAATAAATAACTCTTTACAAAAAAGGGTTTTTGAAGAGGTTTTCAGTGTGCAGGAAATCTTATTACATAAAAAAGTACTCAAAAATGCGACAAATAAAGAACTAAAGATAATATGAATCATCAGTATTTGAAACGTATGCAATTTATGGTAAAACGCATTACCAATGAGTCATGTTCAAATTTCTAATACGAACTCTCGGCATGCGTTGGTGTACGTTGCAGTGTTTGAACAAATTTCCAACATTTTTATGAATAGGAAGTAAGGATTCATATATAACAACGCATGGAAGTGGTAAAATCCTAATTTTTTTTAAATAAATCGCCACTAGAAGTAGTTCTAAATACACCAGCAATAAGACGAACCGCAGCCTTTTGCAGAATGAAAGCATTTTGGGCATTACTAGAATTACCACAAAGTGCAATGCCATATGTCATATGACTATGAACTAAAGAGTAATAGGTACTTATTACACTGTTATCAACTAAAGGTCGCAGCTGTCTTAACAGGAATATATTTTTGTTGATAGTTTTGAACATAGACTATCAATATGTGCTGTCCAGTTTGGACTAGAATCTAGAGTAACACCCAAATATTTTACATCCGATTTTTTACTACCCGAATCTCTACTAGCACAGGACAACAGTGTTGTGTCATCCGCAAAGAGGATACATCTACTATTAGGAATATTGACTGGTAAGTCGTTGATGTATATTAGGAAGAGCACAGGATCTAGTACTGACCCTTGAGGTACATCATTACATATAGGAAGTAAGGTAGATTCTGTGCTCCGTATACTGACATATTGCTGCCTGCCTGTTAAATAAAATTGAAAAAGTTGTAATTCATTATTACAATTCCGCAATATTCAAGTTTTGCAAGTAAAATATCGACAGTAATCTAATCAAAGGCCTTCGAAAGATCACAAAAAGAAGCAGCATTATTATCAAAACCATCAACGACTTAGTCAATAACTGCCAGAAGAGCTTTGATGGTAGAAAAGCCCTTTCTGAAAACAAATTTTAATGATGGCAATATAGATTTAACTCCCAAATAAGCTAGTAGTTTTTCTTTTACAAGAATTTCAGATATTTTCGAAAAAATTGGAACTATAGCAATGGGACGAAAATTATCTAATAAGTCAATGTAATTACTTAAACCATAATAATCACGGCAAATTTTGTTAAATGTTAAATAAACGTATTCTTAATTTAAAATAATTTTATTTAGAAACTAAATTTCATCTTTTAATTTGGAAAATTACATGTTTTAAAATAGACAAGTAGAATTTGAACGTAATAAAAAAATTATTAGTAGACATTTTATTGCACTTTATGTATGTAGAATGATATCAAAAAACTAACTCGAAAGAAATGACACCAAGTCAGTAAATTGTGAATAAATGTCAGAATTATGTGTTTTTCGATCTATTAGTTATTTTATTTTGTCGCCAACTTGTTAACAGTAATATAAACGTTGAACGCGGAAAAATCAGTTTTCCAAAATTTCTCATTATTGTTACAAAAATTTATGGAAAACACGTTCGATCTAATGACTGACATGTGTGCCAAAGGCCGGTTCTATTGACCATGAAATTGTTGCCACAGAAATTAGTTGATTAATTTCGTTTGTTCTTTTGCAACTAAAGGCTTAATCACTAAACGTTAATTTTAGTAGTTAATATCGTTGATATAGGTTCTAATTGATCTAAGGAAACGCATTGAAAAAGAAAAATTTCGAAAAGTTGAAATTAAGTTGTTCTTTACAACTAACAAAGTTGAGTGTGCAAAACAGCGTTAAGGATCAGGCAAAGGCCGCTCGGAAATTCGCTTTTTTTGCATTAAACAGAGCTTATTTTTACGATAATTAAAATAGAAACCACCTACGCTTCTTTGTTTCCAAGATAGCTTTACAACAGTAATAAAGCCAATAAGTATACATCTATAACATGCGGATACATATTTATAATCATTACCTATACAATAACAGATGCTGAACTGATAAAAATTAATAAAAATTCTCAAATTAAAATTATTTAAACTTAAGAGAAAGATATGAAACTTTGACCTAATTAGTGCATGACGAAGCTGTTAATAAAAAAGTTCAAATTATAAATAAATTTGAAATATTACTATGTCATTTTCAATTTTTATCGGTGTCTTTGTAAAGTCGACAGAGTTTTACTAATTAATTCTGCGGAACGAGTCCTGAAATTAGTAAGTAATTAGAAACTTTTTATCTACCTCCGCGTTGTTTGTAACATAAAACATCAACATGACACTCCTGTAATTGAAAAATCTGTTACACGTTCTCTCAAGCAGCTACTATACAGTGTCTACTACTTATTCTGAGTATCAACCCCATAAATTTTCTTTATATTACTCACGTATCTTGTACAAAAAAGCTACATGCCTACCGTTTGCACTTGCCGGGGTAATAATATCTTTTATTTCCTTCTGCAGATTCTGTCTTCCTCAAAGAAAAAAGTTAGGCTGAAAGATATGAGGCTAATATGCTGTTTCTCGAATTTATGCCAGAGTTAATATAGTAAATGGTACAATAACATTCTTAAATAAAGATTATTAGAATAATTTTTGTTAGATTTACCAGAAAGTGAATAAATTACTATTAGTTCTAGAAGTGCCTCAAAGTTTAAATAATATAGAATTTTCAAAACTAACATGTTGCAATTCTCCCATAGCAAATATCTATTATGTACTCGGATAGTATTTGTAATCTCTCGCATTCTCCTTAAAATTCCAACGCCTCTGAGCCACTGTGAGGAATTAGTCCAGGAAATATAGAGTTGGACGCGACTTTTTGTTTCGGCAAGCTGAATTGATCACTATAAATAGATGCTAAATATTGTGTACAATAATATTAGTTTCCACAGTCATAAAAATGGCGGGAAGATTGTTTACAGGGTGGTTAATTGTATAATTTTTAAGTAAATTCACGTTTTTCGCTTATAACTTTTTTTCGTTCATTTCCACGAGAAAACAGTAAAGT